GACACGAGTGCCGTGTAGGTGGTCTTGTTGGGGCAGGGACGTGGTAAGCGTGGGGCAAGTACATAAGAGACGCACGCGACGCGTGACGTGGGGCGCGTCAGTCGAGCGTCTGCGAACGTGTCCTCGACCGAGGACGCACGCCACGTGTGTTGTCCCAGCTATACTCGCTTTTCCTCCCTCCACCATGTTCTCTGAAGAGCTCAAGACCCTACGGAGACTCGGCTTCCGTCATGTGCGCTGCTCCAGGACTCCCCGCGCGCCGTGCACTGACGCTGCGCCGGTATCCAGGTCCTCCTCCAGATCCTCAACTTCGTCTCCGTCCTCGCCTCGGGCTTGATGATCTGGAAAGGGCTCGGGCTCGTCACGAACACAGAGAGCCCTATCGTCGTTGTGCTCAGGTGCGTTTCTCAGCTCTGCCTGGTGCGCGCGTGCGGGCGCCATCTGTTTTTAGAGTAGCACTCTCATGCGTTCGTCCTTGCGGCCGCAGTGGCTCGATGGAGCCTGCATTCTACCGCGGCGACCTCCTCTTCCTCACCAACCCTTCAGACCAGCTGTATAAGACGGGCGACATCACTGTTTACAAGATTCCGGGCGCAGACATCCCGATTGTCCATCGCGTGCTGGAGACACATGATCTGGTTTCAGCACACAAAGGGTGCGCCAATATCTTCTTGTCTTTCTGCGCTCCCTCCTCCTCCCCCTTGCGACCCTTCGAAATGGCCTCTTCGTCCTTTTCCCCTGTGTTGGTCTCGTGGCATCTCGTTACTATGACTGACTGTGGTGTGCGTGGTGTAGACTCGTGGCGGCAAGTCCCCTCGCGCAACGGCAGCTACTTCTCACAAAGGGCGACAACAACCACATCGACGACTTGGAACTTTACCAGGGTCTGGAGTGGCTAGAGAGGAAACACATCGTTGGGAAGGTTCGAGGGTGAGTTGTACGCGCTTCGGTCATCGGCCAGCTGCTCAACTCCCTCATCGTGCAGGTTCCTGCCGTATGTCGGTTATGTGACCATTGCTATGGTAAGTCCAGCGACCGGCCATGCCATCCCTGTGTATGCTGACAATGGCTTCCTGTTTAGAATGACTTCCCACAGCTCAAATACGCGTTGCTGGGCGGGCTCGGTCTACTAGCGCTCGTCCAGAGGGAGTAGACAAGCACCTGTATTGTACATTAATTTATCGGAGGTTTTCGATTTGATCCTGTGTGTCAGGTCTCCCTCTCTGCGCAGCCCGTTGAAAAGCTTGCCAGGCAGTCGTGGACACGCTAGGAATACAGGCTTGTGACGACTCCGCAAGACATTGAGCGAAGAACGTTCGATGCAGCGCTCTCCCTTCGGCCGAACGTGCATCGAAGTGCTCCTCAGGAGCTGTAAAGTTGCCTATTCGTTATCTGTAGTCCCGTGTCGAGCCCCAACGGGTTTGAGATGGCTGTATGCGCCTGATTAGCAGCTGGTAGACGTGATAGGTCTTCCCCAGCAAGGCCATCAGTATTGCTTTCGAAGTCCAGACGAGGTCAAGATCTTCACCAGCATCATGCCTCGGCCACATCCTTCGAAGACCCCTTGGTGATCGGATATTCCATAGACACCATCCACCATAGCAGAATCGGGGCATTCACCAATAACAGGTGTCTGTCTTCGCCCTCTCAAAATACCAACTCTACGACGTAGGTGACGGAGTACGGGGCGGAGAAACAGGGGGTTGAAAGTCGTCAGTGGCGAAAAGGGTGGCTCGAGCGAGGGTAATTATGGGGAGATGCGGCGGCGAAAGGGGGAACGGTGCGAAAGAGAATGGGGCCAGTGGGAGTGCGGGGTGGCGGAGCGCGAGCGAACGAGCGCGGATCTTGGGCGACAGGCGGCGCGCGCGCGAGGACGAGGCGCGACTGTGCGTTGAGGACGTCGATGCGGACGGATGGGCGCGGTGTCCGGTCGAACTGCGGCGCGGCGAGGGACATACCGGATGGCGACTTGGAGGATACGGAGGGTGGCGGCGCTGGGGAGCCGGAATCTGAGGTGCGCGTTTTCGTACAGCGTATGCGCGGGCGTAGTTGGATGGATGCGATAGGCAAGGGAGACGAGGGGGAAAACGCCAGAGAAAGGATGAAAGGCGTACTCGAACAAACGGACGAGCCTGTCTCCACGCGGGCTGTCTACGGCGGCTCCTGCCTGCCTCTCTCAACTCAGATCCTGACGTCCGGGCTGGGCGCTGAACGCGAGCAGCTTCTGCGAGACAGGATGGGAGACGTCACATGCATCGCGCGCGAATGATCTTGGCAGTAGGGTGAGGTGCGAGGAGGACGGCGGGAGGTGGAATGCAACGGCGCACTGGAGAGGCGGGGCGATGTTCGTGGACGGAAACCATTGACGGACGTCGAACGCGACGCGTGACTGCTGTCTGGGCGCGGAAGCTATTGCAGCAACAGCAGCAGCAGCAGTGTGCGGATCGCGGCGCGGAGGGACCTGCAATATTTGGTGTAGCGTGTGGGGAGACGGTGGAGCTGTGCGGACGCGAACTGAACGGGGTAAGGTCGTCAATGCGCGGACAGAAGCTCAGGACGGCAGGGTGCGGCGCAGCAGTGAACGCGAGCGGAAAGACGCCGCTGAAGATGCGGGAACTTGAACGAGAGCGCGACGGATGGGGTTTGTGGGCAAGACGATGGCGCGTGTGGGCGGGGAGCGGCTGGGCCTGGTGTTGTGGCAGCGTGGACAAGGCGCGGGGAGGAAAAGAGTGGATGTCGGAGGAGGTGGATGAGGGAGAAGCGCGAGGAAGGACGGAGGACTTGCAAGCATCCAGTGAAGGAGCTGCAGGAGGGAGGGAAGGCGGATGGTCGTGCTGCGTACCGAGTTGAGAACCCTCGCGGTGGGCTCCAGGGGTCGTGTAGCGCTGCGCGGCGGTGTGCGAGTGGGTGACGGTGAGGTCAGCACAGGATACTCGATGCGGCAGGCGACCCACCTACCGTGCGTTTGCAGAACCCGCGACGAACGCGCAGTCAGCTGGACGACGTTGAATGAGACGGTTGGCATGGACAGGAGGTATAGGTCGCTGGGGAGTATAAAGGGACCCAGTGGTGCTCCAGAGCATCCTCACCTCTCTTCCCTTCTAGGCTCATATTCTTCCTTCGAACCCAACCTCAACCACTCGATAAGCAACAATGCCTTCTTCCAAGACCGCCACGCTCGGCTTTGGAGAGACCACTGTGACGATTGGACGCATTGGGGTGAGTAACCGCAATTTTCATAACCCTCCCAGGCCAACGCTCACCCTACACCCTTCATGACAGCACGGTCTGATGAACATGAGGTGCGCACAGGATACCACGGCACTCTCAAGTTGTTGGCTGATTATCTCCCCTTTCCATCCAGCACCCGCGACCCGTCCGACGTTCTTCCCGATGAGACCGCCTTCGCTGCGATCAAGATGGGAATCGACGCCTTGCCCGAGGGAGCGCAAATGCACCTCAATACCGGTTCGTCTCTCTCCGCAACGTTGTCCTCACCACTGAAGCTCCCACCCTTTCATCTAGGCGAATTCTACGGCAATGGTTTCAGCATCGCCAACCTCGAGCTCGTCGCTCGCTTCTTCGCCAAGTACCCTGAGTACGCCCCCCGCTCCTTCCTCTCCGTCAAGGGCGGCATGCTTCCCAACTCGGTCAAGGCCGACGGCTCGTGCGTGTTGCCTTTTATTTCAACTTCTGCAACAGCAAGCCGACTGACTTCACGCGCAGCCCGAGAACCTGCGTCGCAGCGTGACGACGATCGCGGCGACGCTCGCGCCCGGCGGAAAGAAGATGGACCTGTTCCAGATGGCGCGCGTGCCAACGAACGTGCCGTTCGATGAAGCGTTCGGAACCGTAGTCGCGCTCAAGGCCGAGGCTACTTCACGCACATCGGCATGTCCGAGTGCAGCGCCGCGACGCTGCGCAAGGCCCACGCCGTACGTCCAATCGCTCCGGGATGCGGCTCGGGGTCGGAGTGCTGACGGCGTCGCCGGGAACCGCAGATCCACCCGGTCTCGGTCGTCGAATCGAGGTCAGCGCGTGGTCGTACGAGGAAGAGACGAAGAAGGTGATCGCCGCCGCGCAAGAGCTCGGGATCGTGATCGCCGCGTACTCGTACGTCCCCTCCGCTTCTCTCGCCACCCTGTGAGGCTGAAAAACGCGCCGACGACACAGTCCACTCGGCCGCGGCCTGCTCTCCGGCACGATCAAGAGTGTCGACGACATCCCCGGTACGTCTCTCCTCGCGTACACATACAACGTTTCACCCCGCTGACGGACCCGGCAGCCGGAGACTACCGCGGAAGCTGACGCGCTTCCAGGAGGAGGCCTTCGCGCACAACGCGGAGATCGCGGAGGCCTTCGGCGCGGTCGCCGTGCGCAAGGGCGTCACCGCGTCGCAGCTCGCGCTCGCGTGGGTGCTCAACCTCGGGCCACACATGGTGCCCATCCCCGGAACTTCGTGCGTGTTCTTTTCGAGCGGAACGTGAGCGAATGGATCGGCTGACGGCGGGACACAGGTCGGCGTCGCGCCACCTCGAGAACATGCTGCGGCGGACGTCGAGCTGACCGGTGAGGACCTCGCGGAGATCAGCAAGGTGCTCGAGAAGGGCGTCAAGGGGAGTCGCATCATGGACGGTGTGCCGGCCGAGAAGCTCCGCCTGTGGGCGTGATATGCTGCGGGGGCTAGAAACACGGATGAAGTGCTGGACGATGGAGAGCGGTTTTCGAGTGTCGTCTCTTTCTCGTAGCTGCCGTTACCAACTTGTACTTGCGTGGAAAGAACCTTGTAGACACCGAACTCAATTAGATGATCCCCAATGCGAAGGGCGCCGCGCAAAGGGCGGCGAACCTTGTTTCCATTAAATTATCATGCTGACAATTCCCGCCTGCTGCTACTTCTCAGGTGTCGCCGGCCATGTCTCCAGCCGCGCTGCTCGAGATGACTCTGAAACCCATTATATCGCCATAAACACACAATCTTCTACTCATCAATCCTTCCCTCACTTCAGCTTAGCGAACCCAACGGAGTTCTGAGCGAACGAAAACGCGGTGTACACGTTCTTCATGAAGCTGTTGGAGGGAGCCCCAAACTCAACACCCGAAGGAATTCCTGTCAGACGACGTCGACAACGCACCTGTCGCCCAGAAGCCACACGTTCGAGCCCAGCCCAAAGTCCTGGCCCGCGAGCGCGCCCACGCACCACGTCGACCCGGCCCTCGTCACTCCCAGGCTGAAGTTGTTTTTCGAGACCGCCCACGCCTTCCCGGTGGGGCCCCAGCTGAACGCCACGCTCGGCGCGCGCGCGCACGGGTACTGGTAGAGCCCGTTCGCGGCGTCGAAGACCTTCGCTCCCGGGACGGCGGCGTAGAACGCCTTGACGGCGGCCGGGGGCCGTACATGATCGTCGTGCCCGAGTCGATGACGGTCTGGAAGCCGGAGGCGACGCGGGCGCCGTTCGCGAACGCGCTCGCGCCAGTGATCTGCCAGAAGCCGAGGGACGAGGGCGAGACGGGGTGGTACTCGAGCGCGCCGGTGTAGAGCGCGGAGTTGGTGCCGCCGAGGTAGAGCTCGGAGCCGGTCGTGGCGAGCTTGAAGCCGAAGACGTTCTGCTTGGCGGTGCCCTGGGAGAACGCGGTGTTGAAGAACGGTTTCTGGCGGGAGCGGAGTCAGGAGCGACCGGGGACGAGTCAGTCGCTGGCGCTCACATGCTTAAGATTGGACAGCTGCGGGAAGGCAAGACCCATGAGGCCGTCGACGACGTCACTTGTGAACTCAGACGACTCCGTGGTGACAGCGGAGAAGTACTGGCCGGTCGCCTTAATGCCGCCTACGGTCACTGTGCGGAGGCGTTAGCACTTTTCGTTGGGATGCGTGGTGCACGCTGACCGGTGTCGGTGTAAATGGGGCCGGACGCAGAGGAGCCGTCGCCGTACCCATCTCGAAGGTGCCGCTCTTCTTCGAGCTTGTGGAGGATCTTGCGGGGTTGTACTTCTTGTGGGAACCGCAGGAGGTGCATGCAGAAGACGGAACCCAGAGGTCCGACGAGCCGGTGTCGAAATCGATTAGGAACGTGGTCGGGGGCGTACCAATGGCAACCTTTCCCGCCCACTGAACGTCGTGGTCCTCGTCCGTGAGAGGAACGCCGGCGCGTTTGAGGGGATGGGCAGCGACTTTGGGATCTGGGATCGCCTCGACGCCATCGGGAAGGTGACCAGTGTTCGCCTTGATGTTGATCAGGTTCCTGCGGTACTTGCTGGGGTGTGGATACATTGGATGAACGAAAAAGCAGGGGGGTAGAGAATGCATACTTTGCGATCCTTGCGCCGTGCTTGACGGCCATCGCATGGTCGAAGACACCGTGGGGAGTGGTGAGCGAGCCACGCTTGTGGAGAGGGATGTTCACGCCGAGAGGGCGGGCCTCGGGAATAGGAGTGGCTTGAGAGAGCAGAGTGAGGGAAAGAGCGGGGAGAATGGCGTTGAAAAACATGAATGGTACAGCGACGAGCAGCGAGTGGGAGAGCAGAGGGCGGAAATGACCGTGCCCGCTGTTTCGAAACAGCGCGGGCGGGCCTTATACGGCCGGAAGGCTGCGGGGAAGGCGAGCTGATTCGAGGCGAGCATTGGGGACATGGATAGATGCGCATCGAGATCGGACATGTCGGGAACTAGCGCCACTAGGCAAGTCCGCCACAACAACCGCGTGGTGAGGTAGTGATACAACATTCTGGCCGGTTATGAGCTAGAGAATACTTGCGCTACTATCGACTACTCGAGGGGCTCGACGGCTGTTTTCAGCGGTAGAAGGAGGAGCGAGCGTGAGTTTGCCATTCAGCTTTAAACACAGCACAGCTCACCTGGCACAGCAGCGATCATGTATGACAGGGCGCAAGTAGCCATATCGAATGCGCGTACGGACGATGTCGCAGAACATAGAAGCCTCCGTGTGAGCATCTAGGCCCTGACGGGACTGCCGGTAAGTGCTTACATTGAGTGACAGGCACAATATCAGTCCCGTTCTAACTTCTGACAGCCTGCATGAAGGCCTGGTTAAAATACTGAGGGGCTGGCCTCCGAGTCGGGTTTGACGGAGTGGGACTGTGATCCAAATTATCGCATGAGTCGAAATGCGAAGGGATTGAAAACCACGCAAAGGAGACTCCAGGAGACGAGTGTGAGCTCAACACAACGACAGTTGCATTGAAGTTGAAGGCGCCACTGAGACGCCAACGTAAGCAGGCCATAAACAGTAGACGCCGGTGCCACGGTAAGCATGTCACGTGAAAAGTCTTGTGATGAAGTGTTTGTCCGAATTACCAATTCAGCCG